AAAATAACATCAATTGGTAGAAGAGGGTAAAGGGGGTCAAATATATGGTGATGGAAGGAGAACTGACTCTGGGTGGTGAGCACACAATGTAATACATAGATGATGTATTATAGAATCATGTACTTGAAACCTATATAATTTACTAACCAATTCATTCCAATAAATTTAATAAAAATTTAAAAATAAATAAAATAAAATGTCAATTATCTAGACAATTATGAAATTCTATAGAACAGTCTATTTTTAGACCAGCATTTTACAAAAGCTGCTCTAAGAGGTGCTAACAATTTTTGTGGTGGAGGTGGGCTTCTTTGCTGTGTGAATTCTAAAAAGCACTGGGATTCTCTGTTGCCTACTTAACAGCTTTCTCACCCCTTCCTTCCCTGTTAGAATAACCAATTCTATTTGTACAAGTGAACATGAATGAATCAGAACAGCCAGAATAGCTTTTAGAACGTAAGTGTTCAATAAATGTTATTTGTTAAGTAACTAGAGTAAACTATATGTTGAAACCCTGAAACATGTAGAGAAGTACCACAGGGTTCCACAAAGAAGACTTAGAAAATTCCTGAACCAGGTGATTTTAAAGTCCAAATGGACACTGTGAATATGATTCTTTGCTATTTATTCCACTTGGTGTTTGTTCTAACATGTTTCTTTTTTAAAATAGACTCATTAGCAATGTTTAGGCTACATAGCAAAAAACATCCACTGAGTTCAGAAACATAGATTCTTAAAGCATTAGAATCATTTGCTGGTTAGTTAGGACTGGGTCAGGACTGAGTCATTTCGCATTACATTAGAAAATCCATTGGAAAATACTTGGTAGAAAATAATTTAGATGAATGAAGTTGGAATTATGTGGTTACCCATTTGATTTAAAACTGCTCTTACAAATTAAAAATATATATACCCCATTAGCTTATATGGTACAAGAGACTATAAAACTTTTAGGTCAGTAGGTTTCTTCAATGCATCTTTGTAACCCTTCATTGTTGAATGAAGAATTAATACATATGTTTGTTGTATGACTACTGTACTAGCTTAAAGATTTGGACAAGGCATCACAAACAAGGTCATACTTGAGCTTGAGCTTAAAAATTGCATAGAAGTCGACAAGAAGCAAGGGAGTGAGCCATGTAAAGGGATAGAACTTACAAAAGCACAGAGATTTGAAATAAAGTGACCATTTGGGTGGAATGACATGTGATTCATGGTGGCTTCACGTTAAGGTGACTGCAGTGAGTGGCCAGTAATAAAAGTGGACAGAGAGGAAGTAGCTAGATCATGAAGAACCTGTGAATATGAATGTTCTGAATATGAGGTGCATATGGATTTCATCTTGGAAGATAAAAAAAGAACAGGAGGGGCCAACCTGTGTCTGCAGGTATGTAGGGAAGGTTGTTGGTTTTTAACAGAACACTGCTGACCAATATGTTGTGCGGGAAAAGAGATATAAAAATTAAACTGAACTTTGAGTATATTTTTACCTCCAATATCAATTAGTAAAACAAATTTTACAGGGCCAGCCCAGTGGCGCGTTGGTTAAGAGCCGGCTTGGGACGCCAGCTCTGAGCAGCAGGGCCCTGGTTTGGATCCCACATGAGGGCCAGTGACACTGCGCCCTCTACAGCTAAGATGGTGAACAACAGCTCAACCTGGAGCTGGGCTGCCATGAGTTGCCAGCCATGGCATAGGCTGCAGTGGGGCTGTCTGGCAGCGGGCATGTGCTTTCATGAGCTGCCGTGAGCTACCAAGAGTGGCCGTCCAATGGCCAGCAAGCGACTGCCTCACCCGGGAAGAGCACAATGATAATACCAACATGGGCCAGTAAAGCGATGTCCTCCACAACTAGACTGAAGAACAAAGGACAGCAACTTGTCTGTTCCCCTCCCCCAATTCCCCAATAAAATCTTTAAAAAGAAATAAAAAACACATGTTTGGTGATTAAAATGACCTAATCATAAAAAGTCTTGATTTGTAATATTTGTTAAATTGTGTCTCCTTAAGTCAGATAAGCACAAGGACTGATAAAGATTGAATTCCCCATCTTCTTGACTGGATCTCAAGAACAACAAAACCAGAATAATCCCTTGTGTCTGCTGTACCAGCCTGGGTGAGTGAGCCCCGTGAGAAGATGGACCAGTCCCAATGGCCTGGGAGAGCTTGAGTGGGGAGCCAAGATTAAGTTTGGCATTTGTATGCACACTGTGATGATGAACCACTGGAACACAAACGCTACTCCTTTAACCATCCTTCCCACTCTTCATCGAAACAGGATCTCAGTGTGAGCCTGAGGGCACCACTGGGTCACACTCCTGGAAGAGCCACGGGCTTTCCGTGTGCTGCCAATCATTTCCCTCCTTCCTGACATGACACATGCCCAACCTACAACTATACGGAGCCCCGATGGCAGCAAAAAAAAAAAAAAAACGGAATGGGCAGAAACCAAAGCTGGTTGCCTTGCTTCCGCCTTTCATTTCTCTGAGAAACTCAATAAATATGGTTGTTTTTGCATTTAAATTTCCAGATATGAAAAGGACTCAATCTGATGGAACCATGAGGGTAGACAAGGGACGATTCTGTCATCCTTCATCCTTGACCAAAGTCCTCCAGCTAATTCTGAGGAACCACCTGCATCAGCTTGCTAATGAGTTTGGACATGGTTCTCCGCGCGTGCGCGCCCAACAGAAAGCCACTGGGAAGTTGTCAAACCGGGGAGTAATGTAATCGGATTTGTGATGTAGAATGGCAGCTCTGGAAGAAGCAGGGATTGGAGAAGGCAGCTCCGTAAAGAAAGAGGTCAGCCTGAGGCCCCTGCAAAAGTCTGACTGATGATAAAGCTCTAGCCTGCTGCAATGGCCGCAGACACAAAGGCTGAAGAAAGTGGGGATGGGGAAAGAAACAGGAGGAGCTACAGATGATGCCATGGTTTCAGACCAAATAACTGGAGGGCAACACTGGTCACCTAATCGTGAAGGCTAGCTAATCTCATCGTTGTGTGTATGGTAGGTATTAGGGGGAAATGGGACTTGAAACCAAAGAGGTAATAAGCATTTGTAGAGTTTTGATATATATTCACAAAGTAAACTGCAGGAAAATGATATCAATTATTGTTTTGTTTGTTTTTTGGTGATTTTTATTTTATTTTTTTTATTTTTATTTTTTTTTTTTTACAAATACCATATAGGAGGTGCACAGCAAAATTGTTCTTGACAGTGGAGCCAGCAAGGGTACAAATCCTGCTCTTGTCACCTCGTAACAATGTGAGCTTGGATTAGTTACTTAACTGCTCTGTCTGTCTCCTCATCTCTTAAATGAGGGGAATAATAGAACCCAACTCGGTATTGTGAGGCGAAAATGAGTTATGGGTAAATGATTCAGAATGTTTGGTGCACTGCCTTGAGCTCAGTGTCTGTTGTGTAGTCACCATTTAATAAATACTATTTTCTACCTCTGTCTTACCAAAAAATCAGTACAGAAGAAGTACAAAGTCCACTTTCAAAGAACAGAAACCTCAGCTTACTCCTCTTCCTACATTCCACATTGTATTGCTCAGGTGGTTCAACAAAAGAAGCTGTGAAAAAGCTGAAGAAAATCAAACTTCGTTCCCTGGAATGCTCATAAGAGAAAAATAAAAATAAACTCCCAGGCACAGGGGGCACTCTGAGCTTCAGCCTTTTGAAGACCACAGTGCTTGCTTATAAATAGAATATTAAAACAAGCATGAGCAATTTTCTCCTTTCGTCTTCCCTTATTGCCTAATTTTCCTCCCATCCATTTGCATAATGGATAAAAAGGCATCCATTATGCAAATGAATGATAGGGCTGTGAGGTTGTTGAAGCCACAAACCTCACTCCAGATGAAAAGCTGCCACAAACCCCCCCAGTGCCTGCGTTCCAGCAGACTGCCTCACTAGCTGCTTTCCAAAAGACAGAGGAAAATTATAAACACTGTAGGTCATTGATTTCCACGTGGCTTATTCTAAAAGGGGCACTATAGATGCTTTCGAGAAAATGAGTGCAAAATAGGAATATTCTGTATTATGGTATGTAAAATAAACTTGACAGTATACCTTTTGCTTCAAATGGGTAAAAAAAAAACTATACTATGCAAAGTTTTTATAATTTCAAGCATATGCTTTGCTTTAAAAAGAATTAGATTCCCTTTGTAAAGTGAAAAAAGCCTCCGTTCTTCTGGCTTGAGGCTTAACCTAGAACAGGTGCTTAGAGTTGTCTCAAAATCTATGCATACATTCAACAGGAATTAAAAGGAAATGTTTTAGGTACCACAATATTAGTGTATTTTCAAAAACTTTATGCTGTTGCATTGTCCTAAATTTATCTTTCAGAGGTATCACCAAAAACTGACATATTATGTCTCTTAGAGTTGTAAATTCACTGAAACTTTAGAAGAATGTTTATTTTCTCTTTCGACCCACACCTTCAAAACAAATATTACAAAAAAAAAAAAGAATCCTGAGCAAAATCATTGGGTGAGTTGTTCTTTTTTGAATAAACCATTAGGACAGAATTAGAAACTAACTTCAAAATGTTTTCCCCAAACTCTGAAATGTATAGTTTGGGGAGAAAAAAAAAAGGTGGCTAAAACAAAAAGTGATCTTTATTTCTGGTCTTCATTCCTTGATCACCCTTAGTTTTCCAAATGACTTTTTTCAGGGACTTTTTTTTTTCTCTCTTTTAAGTGATCCTCATAAACTACAGATGAACCTCATCACTTACAGTCCAGCCTCCCTATGGTCGTTCAAGGCCACACAATTCAGATTCAGATTCAGATTCATGTGTAATACAAGAAAAAAACATGCATCTAATCATCTGAATAACAGCAGCTGCAAAAACATTATTTACAGAAAAGACAAACCAGATTTTTTTTAAAAGACAGTTATTAACAGGATAAATCATAACATAGAAGCAACTCATAATCAACAAGGTGAAGTATATCAACCAGGTGAAAAACATACCACAAAAAATGCACATACCTAATTTCAGAGCCGAAGGAGTTACTTCAATTTCCCCACCAATTGGTTTAAATGCAGCCAGCTGGGCAGCCACTTCTGTCTCAAAAGTGTCTGGGCTTTGCCCTCCTGCATGGTTTCCACTGGGGCTCTCGATCTTGTGGAGCGGTTCTTGTTCTTCAAACACAGCAATCAGCTACAAAAATCCAACAACACTCATTACTTCATAGGGCACATATATTATCCGGATACTGTATCAAGGTGATTGGGATCTTCATTTGGTTTTAAAGAAAATGGTCTCTGAAAATTTAAAACTTGAATGTTACTGTACCCATAACTCTTAATTCAATATTATGTCTGAAAAGCAATATGGCCAGGAACTAATGAATGGTTTGTTTGTTTATTCTTGAAATAAACAACCAATTTTGTTTAACTTTCTTGAAGGAATAAAATAGCTGCCTCTTCCTCCACCATCTTTTCTAATATATCTGAAAGGACTTCAGTATCTCTTTCAAGAGTGTTCCCCAAAATGAAAGTTGACTATGAAAAAGTGAAACAACAGACATTAGGAAACCCATAATTATATCTTTCCTTTCATATACAATCATTATAAATTGATAAATAAAATGTGTATATTTACAAAGACACAGAATTTGTGATTATCTTGTACATATAGATAACCCATTTTTATACATGCCTTTAATTTTGCTCTTTTCCTTCATGACTGACTCTGTTAACTGGTTTAAGTCCAATGAATGCCAAATCCAATGAGAATAAACATCAGCACTTTTATCCAAATTATTCCCATCTTCATCTCAATTGTATTGCATATGAGTACTATGCTTCTTGTCATTAATATAAAAATGTTTGTCCATTTCCAAGTCACTTTTCATAAAATGGGGGCAAAATATCATAAAATATTCCATTAATTGGGCAAACATTGCTGTGTAAACAGTGAGGGTAGCCTGGCTGAAACTGAATTTCTGGCCAGCAGACAGCACCACCATTGAGGAATCTCATATGCCTCTTGTCACTGATGTGGAAAAATCCAAGTTTAAGTGCAATGGGCAGCTCAGGGATGCTATTGTCAACCCAGTAAAGTGTAGTGTGTGCAAACTTGAAAAGTGCTAGTAAGTTCTCTATATTTTTCATTCATGAAATAAAACAAACCTACTTGTAATTCAAACGTATTCAGAAAAGGCACGCAAAGCCTCATTCACAGGGGAACGTTGTTAGCAATAGTATTGACACAAGCACAGGGATAACCAATCAAAACATCATAAATTCCAAGTTCAGTGTTTCAAAAGAAATGAGTAGAATTAGGGATATGCAAATTGGCTATTCAAAACTAATGTTCCTAATTGGCTACTCATTTCCAGTATGGAGACTTGTTTAATTGGAAAATCCAACAATCCTCTCGCCACAGGAAAAAAATGCTACTCCCAAGGCATTATTTTTAATTCTTAAAATTGAGCACATACATTTTCTATTTTCAATTGGTAGCACTAACGAATTGATTTGAGAGAAGACTTAAAAGGATTAATAATAAAGATTATTCTAGTATAAAAATAATCAGTAGAACTATATCTTTCTAATCATCTGGTCAAAGTAAAGAGTTTAACACTTTAAATCCCACAAAGGAAAATAAAATCAATTTTAAAAATGTGGTAGAAGCATCATTTGCATCACTATTGCTGTGACATAATTACAATTTCAACTTTACATATTGGTGAGTTCTAACATTTTTAGTTACATTTATTAGTAACATTTATTTTAATGCAACAATCAACTAAGCAAAATGGCTTGTTTTACTGGTGCTCTGAACAGTTTCATGTAAATAAGACTAATACCTTACTTTTCCCCTCTTATTACATCCTTAACTCTTAATATACCCTATGTGCCTTAAATATGGGGCAAAGAGAAATAAAATACCAATCCAAAGAATACTACAAAGGCTTAAAATTGATAACTCATCTGATAAATCACTGTCCATGGCTGCTTTATAACATTTTCCTCTTAAGATGTTCTACTGTTTTCCATACTATTACATCCACACAAGTTTATAAAGTATGTAGTAACAATGCTATCCTGATTTATTAAATGGGAGAAGAAAGTAGTTTGGAGACGGTTTTCCAAAGTGACAACTAATGAGTAACTGGTGCTATAATTTAGTCTTTTTAATTTCCAACCTAGGGTTTCAGACTACACTGTAACCATTTTCAAAAAACAAAAACAAAAACAAAACCCAAACAAACAAAAAACAAACTTTAAAAAGAGGCTACATTGTGGGATATTTGTAGTTGTCCTTGAAGATGTCCTAAAGAATGTGAACTCTGCTCTTTGGAGATACCGGCCATACATGGCTCTTCTCAAAGATGATGATGGTGAAATCCAGAGGCTCTCCAAATCTCATAATCTATTTGATTATTTAATAGCTTCATCTGTCTCCCAACCCCATGACTGACAGGAATTACCTCTGCAGAGCGCACTCTGAATATATGGGTGAAGAGATGAATGGATCATAGAAAGTCTCTAATCCTGGAAGAGGATCAGTTCCTGAATCTGTAGTGGCCAAAGTCACCGGCACCATCGGTGCTGGCTGATGAGACTCTCCACAGCCCTCATCTCCACGTCTACAACACACGCAGACTTAACGCTTGTTTCAACACTGATAATTAATTTAAACCAAATGTTGTAGGTGCTCGTTAGCTCGATAACTTGATTCATCAGAACACCTACATTACCGTGTAACAGAGTCCCCTGCAGGTAGTGTTACAGAGATATGTTCATTAACATAAACCACCATTCTAGTCCCTCAGCAGAAGGCATGCTGATTTCCAATGTGTCTAGGGTATGAAAATGGCCTTCCATCTCTGCCTTTAAGCCCATTCAAAATTACCTCTCCTTCAGAGATGTGTTGCACATAAAGAAGAAATTCTAAAAAAAAATAATTTTGTTTTGTTAAGGTTTCATTTACACTAAACTTCTGTGGCATGTGGCAGATTTTTCACTGATCCCTTAGAGACTGTGGGTAACCTAAATTCTAGGAAAATGCCAACAGGCAATATTTGATTTGGATGCCTTCCTCTTCTGTTGCCCTATCCATCTTCTGGTGCCCCTTCTGTTCTCCTTCTGTGATGCCAGTGTTCTCATGACACCCAGTGCAGTACTGACGTTTCCTAAGGACCCCATGCTACAAAATGATCTGTTCACACAGCCTTTACCTTCAGTCAAAACTCTTGTCCCCAAGTATCTCTGTTAATAAGTAGGTATCTAATCTCCAGAAACTTCCAGGAAGATCAGTCTACAAATATGCTATTCATTCTCCCACCCCGAACAAAAACAAAACAACCTTCCTGGGACTCACTTACTCCTATGGGTACCACACCATTTCTTATCTTCCCTGTACAGTAAAATTTGAAAGAGCTGTACATGGAGCAGTTTCCAATCTCTCTCCTCTATTTCTTTACTGAGGCACGCCAGTCAGGCTCTCACCCCTTTATGCCACTGAAACTGCTCTTGTCAAGGTCAAAAACAATTTGCAGGCTGCTAAATCGAAAGCCATTTTTTTGGCTTGATTTTAGGACACAGAAGATCATTGCCTCCTCTTTAAATTTTCTTCACCTGCCTTCCAGGACAATATGCTTTCTATTTTATTTATTTATTTAAATATATATTTTTTAAATGTTTCAATTACAGTTGACATACAATATTGTATGTTTCAGGTGTGCAATGTACTGATTCGACATTTATATAATTTAAGTGACCACCGTGACACCCATGACACCATAAGAAGTTATTATAATATTACTGACTATCTTCTCTATGCTGTACTTTACAACCTCGTGACTGTTTTTATAACTGGCAATTTGTACATATTAATCCTTTCCCCATTCGCACCCATCCCCCAACCCCCTCCATCTGGCAACCATCAAAACGTTCTCTGTATCTATGAGTTTGTTTCTATTTTGTTCATTTATTTTTATTTTTTTAGATTCCACATATAAGTGAGATCATATGATATTTGTCTTTCTCCATCTTATTTCACTTAGCATAATACCCTCTAGGTCCATCCATGTCATCACAAATGGCAAGATTTCATTCTTTTTTTTTATGTCTGAGTAATATCCCATTGTATATAGCTTCAACTCTCTGGGCCCTCCATTAAGTTTTCTTTTACTTATTCCTCCTCATCTCTAAAAATGTTAACAAAAATATGTCTACATTTGTTTGGCAGCCTCACTTGTCTCTTGGCATCAATGTAAGTATATGCCAATAAATCCAAAATTTAAATCTCTAATCCAGAGCTTCTCCCTGAACTCCAGGCACATATGGTCAACTGCCTAACCCAACATGTCAAAAACTAAAACACTGCTCCTCAAAAGCTCTTTCCGTAGGTTTTTACATCCCATTTAGTGGCAATCCATCCTTTCAGTTGCTCAGGACAAAATCCTTGCATTAATCCTTGATCAATTCTTCCCTTCATCATTCCCTTGCTTCCTCCAGCTGTCACTCATACACATCCCACACACAACCAATTAGTCAACAAATCTCAAAATATAACCAGGGTTTGACCACGTCTCACCATCTGCACTGTCACGATGTTGGACCCAGCTACCGTTGTCTCTCCCATGGGTTGCTGCAAATGCTTCCTGACTGGTCTCCTTCTTTCCACCCACACCTCTTTTCAATCCATTTTCAGCATGGCAGCCAGTGTGATATTGCTCAAACATATGGTGGCTCATGGCTGTCCTCTGGTAAGAACCCTGTATCACCTTCCCATCTCACGTAGAGGAAAGCCCAAGCCCTTACAACGGCCAATATGGTAACAAGCTCCCAGCTACATTTTTTACCTCAGTTCTCACTCTTCTCCACCCTGTTCTCAGGAATCTACCCAGGTGCGCTGTCTTCTCTGCCCCTGGCTCAGTGTCTTTGCATTTGTTCTTCTCTCTGCCTGAAACAGTCTTCCGCCAGATACCCACATGGTCTTTAGATCTTTAATTAGTCAGGTTTTCACTGGTCACGCTGTCTAAATTGCAGCATCTCCACTACTTCCTATGCTGTCTTCCTTTATTTTTCTTTATAGCTTTCATCACCTTCTCAATGCTGTATCTTTTCTTTTTTGCCTTTTTCCCCTCTGTACTAAAATATAAGCTCAGAGAAGACAGTGATTTTTGTTTATTTTATTGTTTGCTA